AAACATGTCTGATGGAAACCCCAAAGCATTTTCTCACAATTTCCTGAGTCAGACAAGCACTACAGATGTGCTCTCGGAGTCTGTACATGGTAATTCCCAGCCTCTCTCTTCCATTGATGTTTGAATGGCCCGGTGTTCTACTCTCCCTGCAGTGTATCCACACAAGCTTTGAGCACACTGACAGCTTTCCTCCTTTGCAGTCAGAGTGAATTAGCATCACAACTGTCCCTAAGTGCAATCCCACACGTTAGCGCATCAGCTTGAACCAGCAGGTCTGGCACTAAATAAACACAGCTGAAGTGCTTCAGCAGCAATTCACACACATACACACCTCACACATTCACAGACAGTCTAGCACCCACAAGGCTGGACTATGGGCCGGTCTGTCCATAAAAAATAAAAGAACACTTTGCCATCCAAAAAGACTTCATGAAGCCCGCCCCATTGGAACAACCCCACCCCCCACAGGCCATTGGAAACCTGTTTAGCAAAAGTGACTAACACCTTGTAACGTTTGTGCATACTACATAATTAATTATCTGTTCAGTTATTTGTTTTTAATTGTTAGCACAGTTTACACAAAAGGTGTGATTTACATTGACATATACATACATATACATATACATATATATATATATTATTTAATATGTCCTGTCTTGTAAACAGTAACTAGGTAAAATAAATGATAGTCTGGCTGTGAACAGAAGAGACAATGGGGGGCTTGGGAAAGGTCATGTCTGAGTTCAGCATGATTGGACATGTTTGGAAAGAACTGAAATTCAGTGAAGGGCAAATCCTACAAAGCCTGCTTGCAAACCATTCAAATGACCAGGAGGATAATTAACTACACTCAGTTGTCTGCCTGGTGGACTCTGCCTACATTCACATTTCTGTCCTAATCATGAAATGCTGGGTTTATCTGTATATGAGAGATAGAGAGTGAACACGTAGCAGAAAATAGACTACCATTCAAAAGTTTGAGGTCGGTAAGATTTTGTAAACATTTTAGAAAGAAGTCACCAAGGCTCACCAAGCCTGTATTTCTTTAATCAAAAATATTCAGTAATCATAATCAAAAAATCAGTAATATTTTGAAATATTAAATAAATGTCTTCTATTTTTATATATTTTAAAATATAATTTATTTGTTGTTGGCAAAGCTGAAAAATGTAATGTCGGCAAAGCTGAATTTTCAGCAACCATTACTCCAGTCTTCGGTGTCACATGATCCTTCAGAAATCATTCTAATATGCTGATTTGCTGTTTAATGCTCGGTTAAGACTACATGATTTTAGCCCGATTTTGCCACGATTTGCTTGACATAGGGTGTTGTGGGGATTCGTAAACGACAATGGGCGTCGGGACGTAAGATTCCATCGTTTCAGCATGTGTAGTGTGTCATAGTGGACGACAAGCAGAACAAAGAAAGGAAAATGCTGGCGAACTATAGCGGAAGCGCTTCAGCAATGTTTACATTCTTGTTTTCGGGAAGTCAGTCGCTAATTCCGCCTTCTCGATGACATCACGCGCGTCGTTAAAGATGGCACGCGATGAATGGTCGGGAAGCAACGTGTAGTCTGACATGTTTCTTGTCCACGACACGACAAGATTTTAGGAGTCAAAATCGTGTAATCTGACACAGTGATTATTGTGACCGACAAAAATATTGTGTAGTCTGAACCCGGCATAAGAAGCCTTTCTTGTTATTATTAATGTTGAAAACAGTTATGCTGATTGCTTAATATTTTTGTGGAAACCATGACACATTTTTCAGGATTTTTTGATGAATAGAAAGTTCCAAATATCAGCATTCAAATGCTTTGGTAGTGTACACAGAATAGTTTAATTTCCTTAATTTAGAACATTAAACAGCCAGAAAAATATCAGTAAATAGCAACTTTATCAAGTTGGACATCATGAAAAAGGGAGTGGGAAGTTTTCCAGCCATGTATGTTGACTGAGATAATTAATTGATTCACAATGTCAACATTTCAAAGCTAAGGCTATTAAGTCAATCTATTGTTATCCTACCCAGCAGAGTGTGATAACATGCTAATTGTTAGAAAACAATGGCATCAGTTAACATGAACTGATAAGGAACGTCAAGTCTACTGTCAGCTGACAGGGAAGTGAATGTGTTAAAGTTAATGAATGAGTGCCCATGTGTCGAACAAATCATAACAGCTAAATAATACAACAACACTGCCAGAAGAGATCATACATCAATAATCCATGTTGAACAGTATTATGAAAAATCTCTAAGCCTTTCATTGTAGTTCTAGAGCCAATTATGGACGGCATGGTGGCTCAGCCAGTCAAAACACGTCTAGAAAGCAGGATCTGCCATTTCAAAGGGGAATGGGCTTGAACCTGTCACCAACCTTATGGAACCATGACCCAGAGAAGGTTCGAGGATGTGGATTTGTCTATGCCTAGGCTGGAAAAGCAACTCTGAACTTGCAAAACCATGCGACCCCGCAACTTGAGCAGGAGGAAGTTCTGACCTCTGAACAAGAAGTAGCAGAGCACTGCTTCAGAAGCTTCATCTGCTAATCTGCTTTTACAAACTGAAGCAGCTTTGGGACTGGCATTCATATGCCATCCTGGATGCAGCCCATCTAGAAGATTTTGAACCAAACCTCGAAACAGCACATATGACGAAACTAATCCACAAATCAACTAGCATTTAATTACTACGATGATGTGTTTTGTTTTAGGGTTGGATGGAAGACGTTTGATCATGCTGCTAAATCTGGGGCCAGACAGTCCATTCGAGGCAAATGATAACAGCAATTGAAGGGCGCTCAGTAATTAAAAACTTTAAAAGAAGCAGGATTTAGCGAGTAAATCCCCCTGTTCCCGATTTAAAGTCCGGGACCGCCTGTTCTTCATTTAACAACTGAATCCCTGTCCATTTGCTATGTTATGCATTGTTTAACAGAGAGCAAGAGAACCAGTACAAGCAAATCAGACTTTCATCAACTCAATAACATAATGCATAGCATTACATCTGAATCTACTGACTGTGGGGGTTCTCATCCACATTGATTTTACTTTTGGACTTGCATTCTCGCAGAACAAAACCTCTCTCTCTCTAAGCAACTGCCTCCTCGGACTTTCACGGCACAAGGGGTTGCTGCGGATCAGCAGAGGGATGAATGGGTTCTCATTTGTGCTTAATCCAAAGCTCCTCATCAAGCAGAGATGACATGGAAGGGTTAAAGTCCTTGGTGACTCATTCTTTTTCACTCCATCAAAGAAAGGGAGAGTGAAAGAAGCAGAATGAGAGACCCCTTTTTTCTTGGACATTTCCTTTTGCTTCTGTACGTTTAAGCACAAAATCTTAAAGGACACACAGGTCTTGTTTGGCATCCTGTATATCTGAAATTGGGGCACCTTTAAGACCGTAGAGAGAATCACATAGAGCTTGGCCCATCGTTCAAAAAAAGCTTTGAGCATCAAAAGAAGGGGAGTAGATCAAAGAGTCCCTGCAGTCTATTCAGATGCAATTGCTCCTAAATCACATTGTGTTGTCACACAGTTTTAAAAGAATGGGTCACTGATGTTTTATTGTGGAGAAGCTACCACTAATGAAAAGGACAATGCAAAGATTAGCGCTGCCAGCCAAGTGCCTGAAACCTCACTCTGTCTTTGATTGTAGAGAACAAGAGAGACAGGAAAGCAGGGAACAAAAGAGTGGGGAGTGGAGGCAGAGACCATCAGCAGAACTCTGGGTATGATTTTACAGTCGCCAACCATCCAAGATGAGACGTGATCCTCTCTGAAGAAAAACATATAGACCAAGATATGTCAAGCATAGCTCAGTGCTCCACTATGTCTGCACTTTGGTTTACTTGAGTGCTTCTGTGAACCTGTTTTACTAAGCTCTTCTTGCGCACTATATACTATACTGTACTATACTATATGCTTTGAGGCTTAAGCTCCCACAGGCACAATATTTACTTTACTAACCATAACTCGAACATGTTTGCATACTAGCAACATTGGCAGCTACTTCAAATTGTCCATGTATTTAATGAGTAAACAAACAATGGACAGCACATATGAACTTTGTTCCAAAATCTAATAAGCTGACTCCATAGGCCAGGGGTTTTCAAACCTTTCCCGAATGCCTAGCAGCAGAGAAGGTCTGAAACCCGAGGCAGAAGGAACAAATATATATATATATATATATATATACAGTGGGTACGGAAAGTATTCAGACCCCCTTAAATAATGATTTTAGCAAATGGCTGCAATATAACAAAGAGTGAAAAATTTAAGGGGGTCTGAATACTTTCCGTACCCACTGTATATATATATATATTGGTGTGGCATACACAAGCTGGAATGAATTATTGTGTAAACCGCTATCTAAAACTCAAAATTATTAATGTAATTTACATAAAACTCATAGATGATCATGCTGATCCACACCAATAGATGGCAGTGCAGCGTCTAAGTGTGCAAGAGATGCAAAGCCTGTTCCAAAATGTTAACAACTTAATTATGCTGCCTCTTAAGATATGTTTTGGTCAAATTCAAAGGCAACATCACAAGGCAATCCCAGAATGCTTTGCAAAAAGATCGGTGGAAAAAAAATCCAAGATGGTGGATGTAGCAGACGAAAGGTAGACTTTAGTGGCACTTTTCCACTGCATGGTACGGCACGGTACGGCTCGGTACGGTTCACTTTTGGGGGGTTTTCCACTGGGTACAGTACCGGAAAAGCGCCATAAGATATATATACTTATATTTAATACAATACTGAAAATAATTACTAAAATAATTACAAACTTCCAAAACTTTTGTTGAGTGAAATGCTTTTATATGATGCACAGAAGTTGATGTCTAGTAGAGCATTTAAAATCATTCACTTATGAGGTTCCATTTCAGTTAGGATGTCTCCTTAAAAAGCAATTGCCTAAGTGTAGTAGACATTGATGTAGCTCATTTTGGAGTCAGTGATTCTTTGAGTGAGTGTAAAAGAAGCCACTTACCAGACCTGTGCAGGTGGATATAGCCACAGAGGAATCAGAATGGTTTCGGATGGAACCCTGATAGAGACAGTTATGAATAGAAGGCTCAAGGGTGGCTGTATTGATGCCCTCTGCACCCAGTGTCTGTACAGTAAACCCCTCTGCCAGCACATGGGATGGCTGCAGGTCTAAGTGCAATTCCTTGCCAAATGCAGAGACATGATAGTGCAATGGACCACCAGCTTCTGACAGGGATCTCCTGCTCCTTCCATGTCTTGACAAATCGTGGGAAATGTAGCCTCCAATTGAGTCCACTTCCACTGGTATGGCAAAATCATAATCTGTGAGGGGAACCAACAAAGTATAAATACCAATCTCAATACCAGTCCATCACCAGTTAATTAATGAAATAGTCTCACTAATATAACTTAATAATGTAATGTCGGCCATGGTTTTCGGTCTTACGGGAATTAAAACAGTTGGCAGGTAAATCAAGAGTGTTGTGTCTTTTATTCCATTGAATAAAACCTGGCAATTTTACCAGGTATCCTCTTTTAAACTTTACAGTTTCTTTCTCTTCTCTTCAAAATATTGATGATTCGCTCTGCACTACAAAGTTTTTTGTCCAATCAAACAGTCTCTAATTAAACTGTCGCTCCCAATACAGGAAAGAAAACTGCACTGTCAAACCATTTCATGGGGACTTGTCAACACTTGTTGGCATACTTACTTTCACTATCTTGTTTAACTCCTCCATTAAATAAAATTAATTAACTAATTAAAAATTTAAATGAAAAAAAATTCTAAAGAAATTACCTCCTGACTCTAAATCTGTAAATCATTGTTTACACTTTATTTTATATTGCTATATCAATAAACACGTGTTTCTATGCAAACTTTCTGTACTGTCTCATGTTTCTGCATGAGCTTTATAAACATGTCAGTGTAGCCTGTGCAAGCTGTGGAAATGACGAATAAATTAACTTATATTCCATGTAGCCACAATTTATTCAAACCTAATGTCAACCAAAAGCTCAGGAGGAACGTGTATTTAGTCAAGCGTTTCCGAACTTCTGACTGGTAGTGTAAATATTAATTAAAAAGACAAGAAACTCTCAGTGACTAGCTCCCACGCGGCAGATAAGAGACGAGGGAATCCCTTTAACGCGCCCAAACCAACAGTAAGCGTGCTGGCGCACGACCACCGGCACAGGAACCTCATATTTGGGAGTATATTTATGTTGTAAACCTCTTAATTCACCGGATCTGTGTGGCATGCTTCAGCGTATTTATATTTTTATGTGTACAGGTATGTCCGGGTAGGGATCTTTGGTTCAACTAGAGCGCGAGAGCAGGTATCCGCATCAATCATTGGCTTGTCATCATTCAGAATAGAAATACAGTTGCAGTGCGTAAAGACACAAACCTTGATAGAGGACGCCGGTGTCGCCGGTAAATGAGACCGATGTTACAGAGTGGAAGCAACAGAATTGCAGAGCCTGCAAAAGCGGAAACAACTCCCCACAATTAACTTGATAAGTGACAATGAGTAAAAAAAATGTATAGGCCTATAATAAATAATTAATTCTCCGCGTGTCACCTGCCTTTATAAAGTTCCCAAACGACACACTCGCCAATAATCTCACTGATGTACTGCTTACCAAAGGGACTTGTAAACTCCAGAGCAAAAGGAAAAGGCAATCCATGTTGTCATGCATGGACCTTTACTGTTACCTCTTCAAAAACGGGGAAAGGAACAATCCGCAAATCCATGCAATGCAATATAGAGACATTGCTAATTGTTTAAACTGCCCCTGCTTCTGTCGTTCCTCAGGTAAAATCCACCGGGTCCATTTGGGTAACGCGCACTGCTTCTGTTTGCAAGCGCAGGTACACAAATAACTACTGAGCAGTGACAGTCGGCGTGTATGTGTATGTGTATGTGTATGTGTGTGTGTAAACTATACTGTGATAGTGGCACCGGCTGATGGGCAAAAGGTGGGGGTTTAAATTTCCACCAATCAGCGGCGACCATCTGCGGTCGATTCCGTGTATTAGCGCTCCTCACTGTCCTACAGTCCATAAACAGATCACTGAGTTCATTGAAATGGGATACATGTTCGTAACACTCCCTCTAAATGAACGGTCCGAGCAAGTAAACACACGCTGTCGAAAGAGGTTTTTGTGTTCAATGTGAAACTGAAGAGTTGTGAATGATGCCGGATGATTTATGATACTGTACGCTATGTATAATGAAGCGCTTTCACGTCAGGTCTTGTTCCTAAAACTCTGCTGTCATGAATATCTGTTCTGCAAGCCCTCAGCTGATTTTTAACGCTTAGTCTACACTGTACTGCAGTTTGTTTAAGTGATTATTATTGGGTGTTCTTGATCTAAATTGCGACTGCTCGTCTACTGCATCTATTCAGTCTTTTTCAACATGTACAAACAAGATCTCCTGACAGACTGATTCTGGTTGTAACCTATAAAGTCTTATTATAGGCAATATTTAAGGAGAAACATTTTAGAAAGAAAATCTTAGTATGCCAAATTATGAGATAATTTGGTTTCAACAGAACAGATATAAATCAGAAATAAATTCAGTATGCTTCAATTCTGTGTTTACACAGACTTTGAATTACGCTTTATAGGCACCATTTAAAAATAAATAAATGCATACATACATACAGTACATACATAAATAAATATTTAAAAAATAACTAGTTTAAGTCCCAAGTCTTAAGCAATCCAGAGCATTACGTGATTTTTTTTTTTTTTTTTTTGTTTCAGTGAATGTGTT